CTATCTTCTCTAACGCTGAAAGTGCTGGGAGTTCAGTGTAGAGATGGCTCTATGGAGCATGACCTCCCACCACTAACCCTGATTATCATTTTCTACTGAATATTTTCTGCCCTTTCCCATAGAAAATACTGTCCTTACAAAGTTCAAGTTTCCTTTTATGAATAAGAACATGGGACTCTCTCTCCTTCATGCTTTCTCCTGTGCAGCCTTCAGTACACCAAGAAATTACATTATTTAGATAAACGTGCTAACTGTTGCTAGCCCACAAAACTTTAAGTGCTCAAGCTTTGCCCAGACGACCTTTTTAAAATTATACCTGTATCTTTTTTGCCACGTGACTATGCCCTGGAGAACGCAGTGGCATAAAATTGCTTTCACCAGCACTACTTAGATGAATAAACAAGAGTAGGAAATTTATTTTTACTGATATAAGTGACCGTTATTTCAACATAGCTGCATCCACTGGCCACTCTATTGGGATAATTTTATACCAGGAAAAAAAAAAAAAAGAAGTCATGGACATATATAACCCATGTATAGAGTAGGCTTTTGTGTAAATAATGCCATGTTGATACAGTTACCCCAAGCAGCTGACATGAGGCTACACTGACCCTCTTGGCTACCCCGTATACAGCTGACACATGGCATTCCTTGTCTACACCAGGCTGTGAGGCATTCTTGAACACAGTGCTGAGTGAGACACTCTCAGTACATCTGTGCTAGCAAATTAAACAGTTCCTGCTCTCTGGACCCCAAGCACCTGTACTGTCAAACTGCAGGAATGGTCTCCACCATGCTTTTGCCCATGTAATTAGCAGGCTTCTGTGCACAGATTAGAACCTCCTAAAGGCAGTTTCAAAAAGTGAGCCGTCTATGCTAGAGGCTGAGAGAGTTTAATAGTATGGGTGCAGGCTGCTCCATGCCAGGTGGCTGCAAGGCTGGAGAGCAGTCCCAGGCACATTTAATGTATGAGTGAAGAAAGAGCTTTTATACATTACCACTTTTGCTGAAGGAGTCCCTAAGAAAGTAAAGGCCATTGGAGGATCCCCATTCATCAAAGACCAAGTAGATCATAGACGTCATGAGAGGCTGCTACTCATATTTTGGGATTTGGCCTGGAAAAAAAAAAAATCTCCAGTGATTTTCTTTGAAATATGTGACTTTGGATGTTGGAATGCTAAAGAGGATTCCCAGTATCTTTCATTGGATAATTCCCATCTGCCTGATTTCTGCAGCTCTCCTTCCTCACCTCCATAGTCCCAAGCCGCGTGAAATCTGTCCCTCTGCCTGCAGGACTGGACTCCTGGAAGAGAGTCTGCTCTGGACTTTGTTTGCAGGTGCTGATGCAGGAGAGGAGGCTGATGGCAGCAGGGTCCTCAGCCTCCTTCCCTCGGTAACGCCACCAGCAAATCACTGCACATGCATTTTTACCACCACTACAGCTGCATCCCTCCCGCCACCAGTCTGCACCCTAACTTGCCAGCACAGGGTTTACATATCCTCTCTAAAATGATGGATGTTTCAGTTGTGTTTGGGGTCTTCAATCCATAAAAACTCATCACAAAAATAGCTCACCGTCTCACAGACAAGCAATCTCACATACAGACATAGGAAATAGCTTTACTTGCCTCCAAAGGTATTTTAGCACTCCCCATCACCACGGTATCCTCTCACAAGCACAGATGACCTCCTCCCTGTTAGTGCAAGCAGGAGGCCCCCGTTTTCCAGAGGCACTGGCAAGATTAAGTGACACGGGTCCAAGGTTGTGCAGGAAGTCTGGAAGGAGCACTGGAAATAGAGCGGGGCCCTCTGGAGTCTCACTGCAGTGCCCTGACCACAAGACCATCCTTCCTCTCCCAAGGTTACACATGAACTCTGTGGTGGAGCCAAGAATAGCACCCAGGTTTCCTGACGCCCAGGCCATCCTCCCTCCCTGTGCACAAAATAAGCATAAATATCAATTTAAAGGAATTTATAAACCTATGTGTTGCAATTAATCCTCAGGCATGCTGTTCGAACCCACACTTCCTATGTTTTGAAAGCTGTGACACACCTTGCTTTAAAAGGTCACTTTCTCAAACAAGGCAGCTAGCAGTTCCCTGTAGCAAACACTTTCCTTCTGTCTCAGCGCCTTTAAGTTTCTGGTTTATCCTGTTCGTGCCAATCCTGCAAAATATTTAGGAGGTGGAAGCAGAGCCCCTGATTGCATCACTTGCCACAGAAGAGCAGCTTTATAGACAGGGTGCAGCCTGAAGCATGCCACCATCTGGAGGAGGCACCAAAGAAGGCCAGGCATGCCCAAAGCATCCCTCACTGCTGCCTGGTGGTCCTCGGGGGATGAGCAGCCTGGGCAAGGGCAGGCCCAGCTGGTGCTGCCGTGAGCTTTCGCATCCCCCACCTGCTGGGGACACGCGCAGCTTCCCCGGGGAGCAGAGATGTGCTGCGTCAGGAAGGGCACAGTGCCACGTGTCCCTGCAGCTCGTTGGAGTCTTTCCATTAATTTTAATGAGCTTTGGACTGGGATACGAATTCTCAGCTGTCTTGGCTAAATGACCTCCTCAAGCTGGCTCTTCTCTCATTTTAGACCAAGGAGGCCTTTTGGAGACCCTGCTGACAGGGAGGTTCCTGCACTTTTTGGCACTGGATCTTCCCTTCCTCCTACGAGCATGGCCATGGCTGAGAGCCCCTTGTGGGGCCGGCAGAGCGAAAGCCAACAAGTGCCTTTCGCTGCCTCTTGCCCTCTGTGTGCACTGTCAGTATACCCTGCCTCTTGGGCCTCCTTCTCTCCCTCTCCTATTCAAATGCATGCATGAGTTTGACCTGCTGCTTAGATCATCTGTTTTTTCCTAGAAAGGACCAGGTGCTAATGAGGAATGTAGCTCCACTGCTCCCCATTGCATACCGTGACCTAGTCTGACCACACAAGGCCCCTCTGCATATGTTCAGGTCTGGGGGACTTACTTAGAAATCCTGCCTGTGGTAATAGCCCCAGCCCTGCTCATCATGGAAACTGCAAAAGCAGTTAAGTTCATTTGTGGAGCTGTCGTTTCAAATAGTGCTCCAGAAAGACAAGACGTCCTTCTTTTTGCCCATGGCACATTCTCTTTCACTCATCAAACTTAGCGCTTTTAGTAAACATCACAGTAAGCAAGCTGAAGTTTCTAAAGGTGTATTTTCTGCCTAAGTTAGGCAGATGCTGATGATGTGCCCATTTGCAAGAGAAAGAAGCTGTATGTTTTCCTGGGCCTTTACTTGACAGTATACTAAAGGAGCACTTGCTCTAGCACTGAAGACCTCTTGTTATTACAGAGGCACGCAAGCCATCAATGAGCTTTCATTTTTTATTGCTATTGATATGGAAGTAGCAGTAACAGGGCCTGCTGAGACCATAGCACTAATTGTACAAAGTGGAGTATGTAATAAGTGAACACTCCAAAAAGGTTGGGAAAAAAGAAAAATAGAGACAGAGAAATAAAGGGAATTGCTCAAGATTAGAGAGCCAGTCCATGACAGAAAGAGCAGTAACACAACAGTAGAAACACAAAACCAACCAAGGGTCACTTGTATGTCTGATCTGTGAGATGCTGCTGCTCTGAACACCCTTGCACCATACACACTGCCGTGCCTGGGAAAATGCATAATGCACCATCTGCGATTAATGGGAAGTTGTTATGTTGCCACTCAGACTGGAAATGCTCTTCAGATCATCACTGACTGTTTGCTTTCTAGCATCTCATGTCATAAAAGCCTCTCCTCATAAAAACCTTCCCTAAAAACACCTTGGCATAAATATAAAGCATTATACACTACAATGTGGATTCATGTGGTGTATGTCTGGGATATCTCTTCCAAGGAGTGGCTTAATGAGAAGGCTTTATAGACTGATAAGTCCCTGGAATCAAAGTTTGTTTTCTATTGACCTCACTTGGAAGTTAAATCCTTGTTCATTTATATATGTACATTAAAATAAGGCAAATACATGTATAATTCAGAGTTCTAGACCACTAATTGATATAATTGCTTGATTTTTTTTCTAGTATCCCATTCTTTGCTTTTAGGGTGGAATCCAGCTCCACTGAAGTGAATGGGAGCAGAATATTTTCATCAGCTCCAGGAAGCTGCGGGAGGTGGCCCACAACGAGCAGGGTGAATTCAGATTTAATGGATCAGAAAGGAAATGTCTCCTTAGATTTTTTTTATTATTATTCTTTTTTTTTTCCACAGTGGAAAAACACTTTGCATGTTTTGGAAGGGACTCAGTTAACTAACGCACAAGACAATTTGCAGCAGAACCAGTTAGGGCAAAGCAGATAGGGGTAATTGACTGAGTGTTCAGGGCCAAGCCAAGGTGCTGGACCACGCACCAGCCAGCTTGATGGCAGCAGGCACCAAGGGCAGAGTCAAAACCAAGAGTACAAGCACTGGTGCTCCAGTCAGGAGAGTTGTGGCATTCAGTTAGCTCAACATCAACCTTCCTGGGCAGGGAAGTGCCATCTCCAGCCAGGCCTGAGGTGGCAGCTCACCTCCCATGCTCGGGCATAAAGGAGATGAAGCCAGGTTGCCATCTCTGGCATGCCCGGAGTGCCCCAAAACTAGTGCTGGAGTTTTCAAGAAGTAAAGAGCTGTGTCACCACAGGCCCTATGGATGCTCTGAAATGGCGCGCACTTGCGCTGCTCTTTCTCAGAAGTGACGCCGTATCTGTTTGCATATACTCACTCCAACGTGACTAAACAAACATTACTCAGGGTTTTGACAGAAATTCACCTTTGAGACAAGCGTGAGCACAACCATGGGGTCAAAGGTCAGGAATTTAGGAAGGGAATTGGTCCACATTGAATTATTCTCCACTTCTAGTGACAGAACTCAGTCCCGTCCCATCTCCCAGTCATCCAGCAGATGCTTGCTAGATGCCCAGTTTCAAAGTCCAGGCCATTCATGCAGTCTATTGGTTGTGGAATAAACATAGCAGTCTGGTTATCATTAATAATATTTATTTGGAAAAATATTTTAAAAATGAATTTCTTCATTAACAAAACAGTAAAAAAAAACCTCAAATAACATTTGCACAATATTCCATAAATACATTTATATACAAAAAAATATAGTCACATAGACCCGAAGTGCCTTTGTACATATTTACCAAAAAATTTAAATTATAAAAAAATGAACATCACAAAATACTCAAGCTTTACAATTATCATGAAAATATTTTTACAGATTCAAAAAAATAACACACTTTTTCTCACCTAATAAAACCACATTTTAGTATCAAAAAAGACAATAAAGGCAGTGTTTGTGTCTCTAATTCAAGAAAAGACTGGCTCATAAGAATCCAAAATATACACTTCAGGCAGTGCATGCTTCTTATGTAAGTAAGTAAGTCCGTTCATTTAAATATATATAGAAAAGCAACTGACCATAGTGCAATGATAAAATTCATAAAAGGCAGTGCAACAGTAATCCTTGAACACAGACCCTTGCCTCGTGTCCATCTTGTTTCTTTATTTTGCAGTCACTTTGCTAACTTCAGTAGAGAACCAGCTCAAGCCTGAATTTAGTTTCTCAGCAGCAGTCAGTGAAGGAATCTATCTCCCATTCCTCTTTCAGCAGCATTCATTGGGGCACGTCTCCTTTGAAATTGTTCTGAACAACAGTTTGCCATATCGTTTCCGTTTCACACCTGTTCAGAGAAAACAAGAGCAGAGACCAGAAGAGATTAATAGAAAGTAAAAACATGGCTGTAAGGCTCAAGAGGGCCAGGAGTCTATCTTCATGCCAGGCAAGAACAAACTTAAGCATACTAAGGAACAAGGACCACAACGGTATCCTCAGTGTATCCTCATCTGCAAGAGTTGCTGTACCTGTGACATCCACTGAAGCATGCAGCTTGCATGACCAAGCTGGTCTCAATAAAGCAGAGGTTTCTACAACCTCCATAGCACGATGAACTCAAGATGACAAGATTTCAATAATCATCACGAAAAGCAGCTTAGCTACCCTCATATGTGTTAGAGAGGACTGACCAGGACTTCTCTGCTCGTATGATCACCAGGAGATATACTAACCTCAGTTGCTATGATGCACTCATCTTTTTCTTCTGATATGACATACACCGACTGGTACTTTGTGTCCTTTGAAGTGGAATATACTGAATCTGGTCGTTTTCTTTCAGAAGTATCACTACTGAAGACAAAAACAGACAAAAACAAATCAGATGACTGTTGCTCATGTTACCTACAAGACACATACACCTTTCAGAGTAAAGCTGTTCCCCCTGCACTTGGATACGAAGGATACCTCTTTAGTTGTACTGCACTTTTTTCCTCTGCCTCTGAATCATATGTTTCACACTTGGCTTCACATTTGCTGTGCTCCTCTTTAACAGAGTCCTCATTCTTGAGTTCATGCACCAAATTGTAATCCACTGATGGGTATCTAACTTTGTAGCCATTTTTATCGGAGTTATCACTGTGAAAGTCTACTTTCTTGTTTGTGTTTTTAATCTGAGTGGCACCAATGACACTTATGGAAATGTCCTTCTCACGCTGGCAGTTTGCCAGGTTGTTCATGGTCTCAGTTTCACTCCTACATGCGTCAGGCTGGTGGTGCCTCTTTTGCACTTTGAGTCTGATGCAGACAACAACAGCAGCGCACCCCAGCAATAGCATCAGGACCAGAATAATCCCGGCACACACCGCGATCCAGGGGAACTGGGCGTTCTGGCCTTCTGTGTATTTCTCAGTGAAGTCGACAATTACCGGTCCCTGAGGCTGCTCGGGGAGCAAAAACTGGCAGTTGAGTCCGCCATACCCTCGGGCACACTCACACACATAGCGGTTGTTTCTTTCGTGGCACGTCGCCCCGTTGTGACAAGGGTTGTGTTCACATCTGCTCACTGGGGTACTGCAGTTCTTCCCGTTGTATCCCGGCGGGCAGGTGCAGGAATAGTCATTAATGCCATCCTGGCAAGTTCCTCCGTTAACACACGGAAAGGAGGCGCAGTCGTCCACGTTATCATCACAGTTTCTTCCAGCAAAGCCAGCCTGACACTGGCATAAGTAAGAGTTCCCAAGATCAACACACTGAGCTCCTGCAACACATTAAATGGGACAAGCACTTAGCTATGCACAGTCAAGCTGCCCAATCATGGAGCTTCTGCTTCAAACACCCAGTACGCTCCAAGTAATGTTCTCCAGGTGATCACCACAACCAGCATTTACAAAAACCTTTCTTTTTGAGAAAGACTTCAATCTTTGCCAGGTTTGTTCCACCATTTAAAAAAAGAAAAAAGAAATGCCGATTTTTACGGGATTGTTTTCTTAGTAACTTTTACCTTTCTTTCCCTATCCTGTTCACTTTTTGAGATTTCACTCAGCACTTCCACAATACAGCTAGTCCAACTCAGTATTGCACCACAGTCTCACACTGCAGAGTTAGAGTGGTGATGAATGTGGAGGACCATACTAAGGAAAGTGTTCACTAGTTTTATCAGAACAAGATGATTGCTACCACTAAGTTGTAAGTAACAATATTTAGGATTGGTAAGGTATTTCCATCCACAGACCTCAAAGAGTTTTTATAAACCACTTGCAAGAAAGTCTCCACATGTTTATGCATAAGGCTCCATGCCAAGTGACCTGGCCACAGTCACCCCTTAAGAAAATGTTACTTGTAGCTGCGAGCCATATTGTGCCCTTACTTTTTAAGTACAATTCCTCCACCAAGTCAACTATTGGCATAACACAGGCCATGATTTCTAACTGGATTGTAATATGAACTCCAAATCAGAAGCCTGAGTAACTGGATGGTGTCCTTCTAAAAGGTCACTTTAGCATGTTTGGCTTACCATTAACACAAGGGTTGGAACTGCAGTAATCGATTTTCTTTTCACAATTGAACCCGGAATAACCTAGCGGGCAGCGGCAGCTGTATCCCCCGTCAGGGTTGTCCGTGCATCTCCCACCATTGAAGCATGGTCCGTCTGCACAAGTCATTGCGCTCAGCTCACAGTTTTTACCATAGAAGCCTGGAGGGCAGGTACAGGAATAGCTGTTCTCAAGATCCTGTTGGGAAGAAAACAGAATTTTACTTTGTTTGCTTACTTGAAACTTTTAACCAAAGTTGCCACAAAATTCCCAAAGTGGATTTTGGAAGAATCAATGAAACAGACATTTCCCCTCCGGCAGGGTTTCACAGGACATGAGGAACTCAAACTTACAGTGCAGCTCCCACCATTCTTGCAAGGGTTGGCATCACATTCATTGATTTCAATCTCACAGCTGGAACCTGTGTACCCAGGTCTGCAAGAACAAGTGTAGCTCCCCTGGCCGGTGTTGGTGCAAGTGGCACCATTTTTGCATGGCTTGTGGTGGGTGCAGTAGTTAAGGTCTGTAAAAGAGTTTTTTGAAAAGAGAGGACTATCAAGACACGCACTACGATACAAGGCCAGCATAGCGCAGATGAGCTGCTTGTTTTCTGTGTTGTCAAACACACGCTCAGGTAGGGGCTAAGGAGCTCTTACCCTGGTTGCAGAAAAGGCCACCCCAGCCCTCCTGGCAGTTGCACTGCCACGGCTGCTGACAGGTACCATGAAGGCAGCCTGGGTATCGGATGCACTCATCACAGTATCGCCCCTGCCAACCCACTCTGCATCTGAAGGAAAAAAAAAGACAACAACAAAGTGCCATCAGATTTAGACTTCTTACAGTTGGAAACTCTATCGCAAACTCCACAAATGCTCTGATGCCAGGGATCAAGTTTCCTAAAAGCCTTCAGTGATCCTTCATGTGAGAAAGTCACCGAGTCCAACTGTGGCATCAGCTTTCATTAGCTTCCACTTCCTTAGATAGAGCCATGGTTCCAGGTAGTAAATTTGTTTACTTTAATAACAAACAGCTAACCCTTATGCATGGGACTCTAAACTCATTGGGTAAATATTAATAGCACTGGTGTTTGGCTTGTAGATTAATACTTTGATCTAGCATCACCTGGATTTCTCGAATTACCGTCTAAGATGAAGAAAGGCTCTTAAACTGACCCTCGGATGACCAATGGCTTATTCAACACCAGAGCATCAGCATTAAAGAAGGGGGCAGAAGGGGAGCGGAAAACTTACTTGCATTCCCCGGGTTTGTCACAAAAGCCGTGCTGCTCGTCGCATCCAGGCAAACAGATCGCTGCGAACGAATGAGCGGGGAGAGACGTGAGCAGCGGGGCCACGCACCTCCCTCCTCCAAGGCCACCCCTGAGAGCACCTTGCAGGCCGGCCACGGGCCTCTTTCCCCGGGTGCACGCAGTTAACAGCAGCTGGGTTAATCTCCCAGGTCTGCAGGAGTATTGATCTTGCCTAGTAACTGGGCACTTTACTTATCGCCGGGGATGAGCATTCTTCTTAATACAGTTGCACACAGACAAAAGAGGGCTCACACAATTGCTCCCTTCCCCACAGCCCCTCACCCCCACCCCCTGTCCCTTCCCTTCCCTTCCCAGTGAGGGTCAGAAGTCCTTTTTTCCAATTCTATGCACACAGCTCCACCTCTTAATATCCCCCGAAAGTGTGTGTGCAGATAAGAGTGGACAGCTGGTGTGCAGGGTGCCAGTGCAAGACAGCTGCTCTATTGTCTATTCTCTCCCAGCAGCTGCCCCGCTGCAACAATACCCGTGGCCCCGGAGCCAATGGGGCCGCCGCCGGCTCCCGCGCAGCCTATCCCGGCCCACGGCTAATCTATGGCACGCGCGTGATTTCGCTGCAAAAACTTTTTTTCTTATTCAAATAAATAAGTCTAAAGTTCTTCCTCCCTCCTTCCCCCCCGTCCTGCTTTTCGCCTCCCCGCCCCGCTCAGCAAAGGGGCGGTGGGTACGGATGGGACGTGTGGTAAAGAGGTAAAGCTGGGCCAGCGGGAGGGAGGATGAGGGAAGGGGGAAAAAAGGGACTTCTGCTCATTACTTCGCCTGGTTATGGAACTCATTAAGCAGGCACTGCAAAGTTTTAATGCAACAAAGCCAGCCGGAGACAATGGCATGCAAGGGGAAGGCGGGGGGGGGAGGAAAGGAAAAAAAGAAAGAGAAAAAAAAAGGGAGGGAATGAGCGCTGATAATCAGATCGCCTCCAAGCTGGAAAGAATGGAGCTGAGGCCAAGTAGACGGGAAGCAATCTGGGGCTGGAGCTCTGCTTGCTAACAGGAAGACATTCTTTCTGCATGCACACACACACATCTCTGCTGCCTACAAGGTCCGCGCTGTTACTGAAAACTGCTTTTCTGAGGCACAAGGGAGAAAGAAGGGCATACAGAACGAGTCAGGAAAGGTGGAAAATGTTCTGCTTTGCAATGGGAAGAGCAGCGGTGTACGGGCATCCAAAAGTGCTGACAGCCCCAAAAGAGCTCTTATCAAAATGCTTCCTTTTTCCCCACCCCTTGAGACAACTGGGAGAGGCACTTTTGATCATGGGAAAGGTTGTAGTTCCTATTTAAAACACTGTCAAAGGAAATGCAAGCCTCTCTGCCTGCTGTTTATGGTGTAACATTGTTGAACATGTTAGCCACTGCATGTCAGCAGTCACTAACAGCGTGAATAATCAATCTGGGCCTGTTTGATAGCAGCCCGCCTGTGACCACAGCGTAGGTGGGTTTTAGAAAAACACAAACAAAAAACAGAGAGGCTGCTTTTCAGATTGCAACAGCTTTCTGCCTACCTCCTGTCCCTTTGATGATGGGAGGGCAGCACTCACACAGCAGGCAAGTGATCGGCCAGCCTGCTTCAGATGTATGTATCCTCACAAACAGGGAATGCCATCACAAGCTACAGAGGGAGCTGTGTGTGTGTGTGCTTGTAAACCCGGCACTGTGTGCCTGTGAGGGAGGGTTATCTGGTGCAAAACTGGGTGTAGCTGCCATCTCGGGCTACCTTATCTGTTATCTGCTCACTATTCCTTCTTTTCCTGAGTATCAACACACCACATTCCCAAACAACTCCAAGCTCAGATTAACTCTAAATTTCTAATTCCTTGCTACTTTATTGGTAGTAATCATCAAGGCAATGTTGTCATAGAAGTGAGATGGGGAAGAAGGTGAATATTCCTGTGGCTTCAGGTGCAAGAGTACCTGTCAGGGGCAGGCTTATAGCACCCTAAAAGAGAAACATACCATCTACTGCCCAGAAAGATTGTCTTGAATCTCCTCGTACTTGTTTCAACGCAAAGTAGCAAGACATCAGACCACAACAAGCCTGTCATTTGCACAGAGGCATGGATGTTGCCAAAGCCTGGCTTCCTTTCCCAAACTCAGGTATTCTGTCACACATGATACTGATGCACTATGGTGGGAGGTCTGGGGCAAGGTGTAATACCTGATGTATTTTAAAACATCCTGAAACATCTCTTGAACATTTTTCTCTCGAATTGATGATTACAGCAAGGGAATGAGAGTGTAACACTGACATTGCTGTTTTATTAGCTTTAGATGGGGCTGTTAACTTTCCAGGGTGACTCTGAGGACCTCCTGACCCCAACACCAGTAAGGCCCATACTCAGAACCAGACCTCCACGTAGCCTAACTCAGTCCCCCCTCTCTTGTGGAGGTTCATGGCAGAGCAAGCAACATGGGATGGCTGAAACTGGACCCGGGGAGACAAAAAGGTGACACTCACGCTCAGTGCAGTACTGGCCTTTCCAGCCTGGGTTGCAGACTTTCTCGCCACGCTCCCCGCAGGTGAAGTGACCAAAGGCATCATCCCGGGGCCGACAGAAGACAGAACAGCCTTCTCCGTAGTAGTGCTCATCACACACGAAGCGGTAGGAGTACTTGAGGTCGGTGCGGCCGCTGCTGTGCAGGTCCTGGGACCACTCTTCACCCACAGCCAAGTGCCTCTGAGTGGCCAGGCGGCTGATGAGGCGCTCGGGGTTTTCTGCGAGGAGACAGAGAGGAGAAGCACGGTCAGGGGACCCGCAGCGGCAGAGGAGGACACTCGAGGGAGGGTGTGGGGTGGGAGGGGAGCGGCAGAGACAGCATCACTAAGGCCACGTGCCAACAGGTTGGCTTCTTCCCATGGCCTCCTGAGAAGGAGCAGGGATGAGGAGTGCACAGAGTGGGATGGGCTCCTTCTGGGAAAGGCTCCGTCTCGGGACAGTTACCTGTGGTGAGGTCGTCCGGCGAGTCGGTGTGCAGCGCTTCGATGATGAGCGAGAAGGTGCCCTGCGGAGAGGAGGAGCGGGCAGCGCCCGCGGCAGCGTGAGCGACAGCGGGGCCAACCCGGGACACCCCAGCCAGCCCGGCCCGGCCCGGGACAACCCGCAGAGCCCCG